AACAATGGTAATTTATTGGTAAAACTAATGATTTGTACATAAGAAAGAAGAAAAGTCAGTAGAAAAAAAATAATGAGAAATTTGAATGCTGTGAACATTTAATTTATCTATCTATCTATCTATCTATCTATTTTACATATCTCTCCATATATCGATTAATATTGGAGTTATTAAGAAAAATACCCATTGTTTTATACTAACAAGGTTGTTTATCTTAGAATTTATTGGAACTGATGGAAAATGAATATCCAATTCATTTTCTTGTTTCTCAGAATCGAATGATAATGGAAGCTTTAATATTGAATTAATCAATTTCTAAAATCTCCACAAACCCCTTCTGATAATAATCATCTGCTCACTAGAGACTGACTTCAAGAGATACTCCTGGAGTTCTAGTGGGAAGCCGTCACCAGTGGAGTACAACCAGGTCTGTTGTGAGATATCAGCTCACTGAAGACAATGGTATATGGTGGCGCAACTTCGTGGATTGGTTGAAGTTAGACATTAACCCCGTTGGATGCCGGCTCAGTGGTCTAATGGTTAAGTGCTCGCGCTCGAAGCCAGTAGGTCCTGGGTTCGGATCTCGCGTGGTACGGGATTGTGGATGCGCACTGCTGAGGAGTCCCATACTAGGACGAAACGGCCGTCCAGTGCTTCCAGGTTTTCAATGGTGGTCTAGCTTCAACTGACTCATGATTTAAATCTGTGAAAATTTAGAAAACACAGTTTTTCTTCATTCTTCTTCGTGAAAACAACCGTCAACTTTAATTTATTGAGCAATTTTACTAATTTTAACTTAAGAAATGACTATAGTTGTTTTCAGCTTCTCGTGAATATCTTGGTATCAGATAATGACTTTAAAAATACATCTTTATTGCATGATTATTTAAAATATCAAACTCTTTGAACAGGTTACAAACTCACTTTTGAATTCAATCAGTCAACTTTCATGAGGCATATTAATTGTAGTGTGAAACTCACATGGGTTATTCTAGATTCCGAACAGATCGGTTTATTCATTCTTTATGTGTAACATCTTGACCTTGCCAATTATTCGCTTATTAACTTTGACTTTTTAAATGGGGCGTATGTAATAATGCCTTGCCCTACTGATCACATATCTGTAGATTATTTTTGTCTGACAGTTATAGCAACTACATACACTTCGATGATGATGTCGTCATCAGAAGCGATATCATCAGTGCTAATACAGTACAACTAATTCATTCATGTACTAAAGTAATTGAGGTTCCTTTCTCAGCAATTGACTGCATAATTGACACTCATAAACTAATTAACTGATCATATAGAAAATAATGTAATGAACGAGAACTCAGGTGGGAATAACCAATTATTTTTTCAAAACGTAATTACAAAGTTCTTTGGTGAAATGTGAAAACCATATGTTCAATACTTAATCTACACATCGTATATCAATTGTCTCAAACTTCATCGTTCATTCATCACTATAAAAATTACTCTCTGTTCCTGTTCTCTTTTATTTGATCTTTCCAACCTTCTGTTGTCAGACCTGATTGATGTTACATACTATTTATGTTGACATAAGTAGTATACACCACAATAGAACCATTAAAACAACTGACTAGATTTATGGATATATTAGGTAATCAAGACTGTTATTTCATGCACAAAATGTATTTAATCCAGCTAGTGTATACAAATGAATAGGTCAAAAAGCAAACAATTAGCAGCTGATTCATAGATAACATGACATTCATATATAATAAGAGAAATATTCTTAATTAAGGATAAATACAATGAATATACAATTTAATTGATAAATACCAATTCATTCATCTAAAGAAATATGTTAATGGATTATTTACTGTTATAAAAAAATTATCAATGTTTAAATCATGTTTGATGATAAAACTTCTTTTAGTAAACGGAATAAACCCATTGAGACATTAAATATTAGAAAGATTAGTTCAATAATGAGTTCTCTTTTTCCGGTGAATTCATTTTCAAAGTTGCACAATTGTAAATATATAATTACAATGATAATGATAATAAACTTCTGTTAGACATGGTAACAATGAGGTAGAATAAGCAAAGGTATAGAAAAAAAAACAATTTTTGACCATGGAAACTAATAATCGTTTGATTGTTAAGGGTGTAAATATTTATTATAAAGATAGATAGGGGAGGAAGTTATATTGAATCTTTTTAACATTGCCGAAGCAATAGCTATAAATATGAGAAAACCAGAATCGTGTGTCTAAAAGAGATTAGTACAATTTGTTCTTCTACTATGGTCTTAAATTTTTTTCTTTCATATTCTTCTTCCTTTATAGCCATCTGCTTCTTCTTCCATCTTCTCCTTTAACCTTCTACCCTCCCCCAAATGGTTTATTTATGTTTCTATGATCCTCTTGATTACATTTCATATCAACTTCAACATTTTATCTTATCATGTTAATCCAAACTTTCCCAATGATAATCTCCCTATCTGTCTTCAGGATATATGGAAAAGATGAATAACAACTGGAAGGAGCTGGAAAGGATTTCCCAGGACAGGGTTGGATGGCGAATGCTGATGGGCGGCCTATGTTCTTTCACGAGGAGTAACAAAAGTAAGTAAGTAAGTAAGTCTTCAAGATGGATATTTAAACTCTTAACAATCGAACGATTATTAGTTTCCATGGTTAAAAATGGTTTTTTCTCAATACTTTTGTTTCTTCTACCTCATTGTTACCGTGTCTAACAGAAGTTTATTATCATTATTATTGTAATTATATAATTACAATTGTACAACTTTGAAAATGAATTCACCAAAAATAGAACTATCTGCTGAATTTATCTTTCTTTAATTGTTCAATTAAAAACTTTATGATATAAGATGGTGGTTGGAGTTAGTCAACAGGACCTAGGTTTCGTGCTTCTTGGCACTTGTCAGCAAGATGTACCTTTAATCTTTAGGGAACTGATGCTCCCTGACGGATTCGACACCGTGTCACCCAATTTCACAGTCAGAGACGTTAACACTAAACTATCCAGATCGCAACTGACCTCCTTTAGGATTGAGATGCATTTACAATTAATTGATCACTGGATAGTGATCAGATCGAATTTTATCTTATCACAATAACAAGTCACCTAGACTGGTGTCCACATTACAACTTGATCGATAGGATTCAATCTACATTAAGAAGAACCTGCCTGACACACATGACATGGATCACCATCCACTGATCAATCAATTTTAAATACAAATTATATTATGATATAAATCGATTAAAACCAAATATTATAATAAGTCAACTTAAAATATTACATCATATCCAATTAGATTTTTCTTTCTTTCTTTTTCTTTTTTTTACAATTTGATAACATGAAAGAAAGACTCTTTGATAAAGTTTTTAATTATGATTGTATAATGAAATTCTAATGAAAAAACAAACAAACAAATTAGTCTTTTTTTTTCTAGATTTATACATGATTCATATTACCAAATTATACAACTACACTATGTCCTTTATATAGTCATATGATTTACTCTCACGATCATGTTGGAAACCAAAAAGTTTTTTTTTATTTTTGAATTCTACATGAAAAATGAGTTAGTTTACAGTTAATTTAAATTTTACGCGCTAACGAATTTTTTTTGATTGAGATCATAAACCGATTGATGTTAGACCACCATTGAGAACTTGGAAGCACTAGACGGCGCGAGACCGAAGGCCCTGGGTTCGAATTTCGCGAGCGGAATCGTGGATGTGCACTGCTGAGGAGTCCCACAATAAGACGAAACGGCCGTTCAGTGCTTCCAGGTTTCCCATGGTGGTCTAGCTTCAATTGACTCATGATCTAAAGTATTAAATTACTATAATATCCACAAAAATTATTCTCTGAGAATATTTGTTTATGGAATGTATCTCTTGCAAATGTATGTATGTATGTGTAGGTTGATGTATTTTATAGGATCCTTCTCATTACTATATTAACAAGCGTAGAGCCTAATACATTTGCTCCCTGGTTTAAAGTTCTATGTACAATATGACTCAAGAACAATGAATTCATGGGATAGAAAGGTTTAAGATAATTTTACAATTTATGATCTATGAGAAAACTAATTGTGAATGAATCTGAGACATTATGGTCAATACAGAGCCACATAATATACCCATAATCTCCAATCTTTGGTCACGATAATTGCATATATCCTAACCAGATAGTCTGTACCTACCAATATTGGTTTAGTACAATAGTCAGTAGCTTTGTCGACTTGTTCAAGGATTTTTTTCTGGTTGTATAAACGTAAGTTGAAAAACTCAAATTCTTTACAATAAAATAAGCGTTCGCACGCGAGGTTGACAAGTCCTGGATTCGAATCTCGCAAGGTGGGATCATGAATATGCACTGCTGAAGAGTCTCACAGTAGGACGAAACGGTGTCCAGTAATTCCAGGTTTTCCATCGTGGTCTAGTTTCAACTGACTCATAATCTGGACTATTAGAATAAAATTATCTCCAATATTTAGAAACTATATCCATGATCATTTTTAGTTCATGGAGTTGTGATTGTATAAAGCTCCAAGTTAGGTTTGTTTTTTATTTTGTTGATTCGAATTGTTGTCTTGGTTATTATTCAGTCAATCAACATTTAAAATTTTAAAATACAATTTATCTTTCCACTAGTTATTGAAACCTCTTAAGAAAATCAATAAATCAATAAATGATTAAATAAGATACAAGTTAATTAATTATAATCGAAATCATCAATAGCTTAGATACAATAATAATGGGCTCTAGAAATAATATCCATATAATATATTGGTATGTATTAAACTATGATACAGTTTTAATTGGAAACAATATTGTTCACTTATATATGTTATTTCAGTTTTTTCACAATGGGAATTTTTAATGTTATGTAAGAAAATCTGAGATTAATTACATTGATAAATAACATGATTGCGCATATCTATTGTATTCTCCATCGTCTTTGAACCAAATATAAATACATGTATAGATAAGTTAATGAGACTTGACATGAAAACAGGTTTGTATAAACGTGAATGTATAAGAGCTCATTTGTGTTTGATAGATTTTACTTATAATAAGCCTTATAAATGTAAGTAACATTTGAAGAGTTTTTAATTTGAATGGATTTAGAATAAATGTGTTTGTTACAACATTCTCTTTGCTACACATTTGAGAAATATAAACATCATAGTAGATTATGATTTAATTAGTGAAACTACTTAATTACTCTTCAGCTGGATGCTTCAAATACTCATGAATCAGTTCCTGATTGTTGAAAAGATAAAAGGAAAACAATTCTTTACTGAGAAGAATAATTTCTTTAGTAAAATACTTCTATTATTAATTTTTCAAGGCTTACTATCAGTTTTTTTAATCCAAGTATTGCAGAAATACGACTACATAGTCACATTAATCTGAGTGCAAAAATATTCACCCTAAAGGTTATTTTCTGAAATCTTTCTGATAACCACAAATAAGTAGTCGACTTGAAACTCTGGACCTAATTTTCGTGCTGTTTATCACACATCAGGAAATGTTAGTTGTATTCTCCAAGGAACTGTGCTGTGTGAACAACTCGATCCCATATCACCTAGAATCATAATCCGAAAACCTTATGTGTTTGTTTTGACAACCTTAATTTAAAAAATAACAGATAAAGAACATTCTATAAGAATTTCAAACATTCTGAGCATTGCATATCAGTATTTCTATCACACCATTCAATATAAGGAAAAAAGAATAATTAATTTGAAATCAGATTATAATTTTACCGTTCTGATTGACTCGCTCCTACACTACACTTTTTCTAGTCAATCTCTTTATACTATATATCCCGTCACTTTTTTTCTACCGTTAAGTACATGTCGATTCTTGTTGATTCGTTAGTGTTTCAATAAGTCAATTGTTTTTACTCGATTTCTAAGATCACTGTCAGTCTAATCGATCCTATTTTTTTTGGATAGCTCAAATAAATCGTCTATTTATGATATGATTCTCCCATTTGAACTTAAATAGACAGAAAATGGATGTTCTCAGATATGGAAGAATAATCACAAAGTATCTTGATTCATTATATGATAAATAGTTAGCAACCGGATCGTACTTTAGATCCGTGGACATTAATATACACATTAAAAAGATGAGTATACTTAGATATTACTACTACTACTACTACTACTACTACTACTACTACTACTACTACTACTACTACTACTACTACTACTACTACTACTACTACTACTACTACTACTACTACTACTACTACTACTACTACTACTACTACTACTACTACTACTACTACTACTACTACTACTACTACTACTACTACTACTACTACTACTACTACTACTACTACTACTACTACTACTACTACTACTACTACTACTACTACTACTACTACTACTACTACTACTACTACTACTACTACTACTACTACTACTACTACTACTACTACTACTACTACTACTACTACTACTACTACTACTACTACTACTACTACTACTACTACTACTACTACTACTACTACTACTACTACTACTACTACTACTACTACTACTACTACTACTACTACTACTACTACTACTACTATTTATTTATTTTATTTTAACACATAGATATTGATACAAAAAGGCACCAAATACATATGTGCCACACAAATCTCATTCGATATGTGTGAGGACTGTGATACTGCACGGGTGCCCAAACCGAAGCAGGTGGTTTTCATAGGGGGCCACTTCCCGAGTCTTCGACCTAAGGGTCTGATCCACAAGGCAGTGGAGCATCGTGAGGAGATGCAGTCCCATGGTGGCTGGTGACCAACGATTGGTTCATACGCCATTTGTTCCTTCAGGATACTGGAGCCCATGTGCACCATTGGTTTGGAATCCAGTTAAAGCGCCGAACATTCGCTTTTCGTCCTCTCATTTTCGTAAACAACACCCCTGCCACGAGAAGGCAATGAGTAGGACTTCCCTGGCAGAGGCTATATACGCGTGGCCATGTGAGGGCATTTCAAGAGGGAGGGCATGCCCACCCTACTCTCGGCCATACCAGGGCATTCGGGGCGCTACTACTACTACTACTACTACTACTACTACTAATAATAATAATAATAATAATAATAATAATAATAATAATAATAATAATAATAATAACAGTAACAATAAGTAATTGGATACAGTGATAATTTGTCAAAATACAACTGCGAATGAAGGTCAATGTCGACATTTTTTCACAACTGTTGTTAATTCATTATTGTTTGTAGAAGGAATGTTCACAAGAAGATGAATGTTTCAATGAAATTAAATTCCTGAAATTTTTTCTTTAAAAAGTTGGGATTAGGAAAACATAATTAGTTCACTTAACTTCAATACTTTTACAGTATATGAGTTTGTAGTTTAAAAAACAATAATTATGCATAGTAAAAATATTTTATTGATAAAAATCAAAGAAACATTGGAATCTTAAGTTAATAAACCCTAATTTAATGGGTAATAATTGGCATTTACATATTTCCTTGTTTGTTCAATGACAATAACAACATATTTTGCGTATAAATAAATCACTAGGTAGTGATCAATGTTGCGTATATCTAGTTCTTTAATAGTGAACAAATTCTATTGAACAAGTAACTAGACACCGAGAAATAGTAACTTTTCAAACTATGAAGATGAGTGACAAGGATTCGACTCCGACACGAAGCAAAAACTCCTACATAGATGGAGGTATATCTGATTTATGAATATTACGTAATATGATGCCTAAATTAAGGGTTTCCTATTGAATATCTCAAACCACATTATAGAAATTAATTATTTTCATTATGAACTCAGGTCAGTTAGTGGACTATTAAAAAAATATTAAACAGCTGTCTACTTTGATTAGCCCCATATTAATCAAACATAATCATGAACCTTAAAAGTTGTGTCTCCTATTGATGGTTAATCTGAAATAAATCTTCTGAAAACCAATAAGGACTGTGCTGGTTGAAGAGATTTCAATCATACTATTTAAAAACGGTATAGTTCTTTTTTTTTTTAAGGATATCATGGCAAGTACATAATTATTGTATGTATTAACTGCCAAGATTATAGCTTTCATTTGATTAGAAGATAATCATATATGTCTACTATATTCATTTGTACTATTTAAATTCGTATTCAGTTAGTTCGGTTATTTTTTTACGCTTCGATGATTCAACTTTAACTAAGCAGTAAAACGTTAGAAGGTCAAATTTCTAATCATTAGAATATCACGAATATAATTTGGTTGGCTTTTTTAGCAAGATTTTTTCTGCGGGATAGGGTTGCCGACCTCATGCCCGATCCTCCTCCTTTACCCGGGCTTTGGACCGGCAGTAACTATAGAAGAGCTACAGGCGAAGTCAAACAATGTCAAAGTGAGAATCTTCAATACATTAAAACAATCCTACTGTATGGTGCCGAAACGTGGAGAACTAATACAACCATCATCAAAACACTACAATTATTTATAAATATTTGTCTACGCAAGATACTCAACATCCATTGACCGGATACCATTAGCAAGAACCTACTGTGAGAGAGGACAAACAAGCTTCCAGCTGAAGACGAAATTAGGAAAAAACGTTGGACGTGGATAGGACATACATTACGAAAATCGCCAAACTGCATCACGAGGCAAACCGTAGCTTGAAATCCCGAAGGGAAGTGGGAAAGAGGAAGGTCAAAGAACACACTGCATCACGAATTGGAAGCAGAAATGAAAAGTATGAATAGCAACTGGAAAGAATTGCCTAGGACTAGGTTGGATGGCGAGTGCTAGTTAGTAGCCTTTGCTCCTCTACGAGGAGTAACAGGAGTAAGTAATCACGAATATATTATTGTTTTTTTTTAAAATGACATTACATTCATTTTATGTATTCTTCGTTTTTGAGGAAACGAATACATATTATGCGATGTATAACAATGATACTATTTAAGTTTATTGGTACTATTACATATACATATTCAATGAAACTCTATCTACGGGTGATTTTCGTGTAATGTACTTTTTATCATTATGTTTAACATGAATTAGATATGATCAAAGCAACAACAAAAAAAAACCTTTAATCAATGTTAGGTGGTAATAAAATTTGTTTCATGAAACTTTCAATGATTCATAAGTGAACAATTTCTTTATTCATCAATACTTATTTGCATACATTATTCTTATTAGTTTGTTATGAAATTTTGAAACTGTAGAAACAATCTATATAGAATGTTCTATTACTTAAAAAGAATATTTTTAAACTTATACACATTCGATTGTTTATGATCAATTTGTGCAATATAAGAATTCATAATTGGTACCATTCAAATGTATCAAGAATAAAACAGTTATCATCAGTGACATTAGATGATGGTTAAACTATATTATGAATTACTTAACATTAAAATTACACTATTGGAGACTGATTCAATAGTGTTAATGATTGTGTTCATCATGAAAGTTGAAGGTGATGGATTCGACTTCTGAATGAGTCGTGGTTGCTTGCTACTAAGGATTTCCATGATGAAACCCAACAAATAACTATTACTTCCTGGTTTTCAGTATTATTTCAACAGATATCACTAGGTGGTGAACACAAACTCTAAATTAAATCAATCTCCACAAAATCTTAATAATTGAGTTCATAAGTCAATTAAAGCTAGACCACCATAGGAAACCTGGAAGTACTGAACTGCCGTTTCGTCCTAGTAGGGGACTCCTTAATAGTGTTCATCCGCGATCACTCTCGATGGATTCAAACCCAGCATCTTCAGTCTTTCAGGCGAGCGTTCATCATTCTGTTTCAAGATATCTAGTAAGTTTATGTGAATATTAAAATGAGAAGAAAAACGTTTCAAAATTGCAACAGAATTCATTCCGATATTATTGAATAAATAAATGATCTCAAGTTTCTTTGTTTGACTAGATAGCTCATTATAACTTTAGGTTACTTTACTTTTAATAGCATGATAAAGTTTGAAATAAGTAGTGAGTGTATATTATATAACTAAAATATAAGTTGCTTTAGTATTTTATTTGAACATGATATTTTAAACAAATATGTATCCATGTAGGGACATGTATCATTAGAAAATGTAACTATGGCTGTTAGAATAAGTTGAAGTCATTTACTTATTAATTAATGAATTAGAATAAATGTCACTGTTTCGTGTAAAACGTCATAGCAACGATTCTACAAACATTTTCGACTATGGTTAATTTTGGTTAACCCCTTATATTAACTTACTTATTTGAACAGTAACAATTCGCATATTTCTCTGTATTGTTATGATCATTAGAGCACATGACACACTCGAGCTAAAATGTTGATCACTTATATATCAATCAATGATTCATCCTCCTCCTCATGTATATATGTACTCAAATCCTGTTATAAGCTTGTGCATTACCTTGATGCGTCCTTATACAATTTGACTATAAATTTACCTGTGTATTTACTCGCACATACATATTCTCCTCTCTGCTTCAGATTCGCTTGACGTGCTTATAGATTTATGATTTACGCTATCCTCTAATAAACTGTAGTTACTGTCTCTCATTGCTTTCTGATTTCAAACACTGTTAAGATTTCTATTATAACGGTTATCAAGATGATCACTTAACAAAACTAACCCACTACAATTTAACTTGAATAAACATATCTCAATTAATCATTTTCAATTCTAGAAATAAATCTACTTGATAAGTGAACATTAAAACAATATAATTATTGTTAATAGTAAACACTTCATTATCAATTAATGTAAGTGAGTGAGAGAGAGAGAGAGTATAAGTGAACACATGAACGTTTAATCATTAATTGAATCCTATGAAAATGTGAGAATAAAATTGAAATCATTAAGAGAATAATTGAAACAAGGAAAATACATAATTATAAATCATTAATTTTCTATCATATAAAACTAAGACTGAAACATTAGTACAACCAAGGCTGTAGAATAGTGAGCCAATTGAAACTAGACCACCATGGTGCCACATCGTGGATGCGCACTGCTTAGGAGTCCCATACTAGGACGAAACGACCGTCCAGTACTTCCAAGTTTTTCATGGTGGTCTAACTTCAATTGACTCATGATTTCAATCAGTGAAATTTCTAAAAATCTCCACAAAACCCCTACTGATCACAGAATAGTGACGAACGAGACTTAAAAAAAAAGAAATTTCAACAATTTGATGAATATGATTTTCAAAATTATGTAAATCTATAGAATAATTTGAAGTATCACTAATACACAACTTATGTAATACAAATTAATATACATAATAGAAGACAAATAATGTAAACATGGCAACAATTTGATTAACCAATAATATCATGATGGATAGATACATAGATATGCACACTCAATAAAACAAACTAAAAATAATTTCAATATTCTAATGATCATTGCCATATTGAATAAATGTACAATGTAAGAGAGAGTGCATCAATAATAAACTAATCCTACTAATAATTTATGCATTTCTGATTGGTTGATAGATCTGATACACGTGACCTTGAAATGAAAAACAACCAATAGAAATCAGCACAACAAATTAACCAATTATCTTAAGAATAGAGAATTAAAAAAAGCAATCACTATCATATAAAAAGAAACAAATTGTTCAAAAGATTTAATAAATGCAAATGTTATTAGTATAAAACTTAAATCTATAATCATGCAACGTCCACCACCAATTCCTATATTAAATCGTCATTCAATGGAATATAAATCAGGAGGAAATTTATTAAATTCTATTACACCATGTAAAGAATATTATACACATGATTCATATGGAAAATCTAAATATTGTATTGAAGTTGATTTACAAGGTTATCCAGCAGAAAGTATACAAATTACAAGACAATTACAAGATGTTACAATAAGTTTAAATCATGAAGAGATTAAACCAACTGGTGAAAAATATAAACAAGAATTTAGACGTGAAATTCAATTACCACAATCTGTTGATTTAAATACATTAAAAAGTACTATTTTAAATAAAAATACATTATTATTATATGCTGATGTAAATAAACGTGAACAACCAATTTTAAAAAGTTCACAAATGAGTCCTAATTTAAAACGTCATATTAATTGGGGATTATCATGTTCACCACCATTACGTAATTCAATATTAGATTCACCTAGATTACGTACATCATTTTCTAGTGAAACACGACATCGTAATTCATCATTTACAAATTTACCAAATGATTTTAATAAATCATTTCATATTAAAAAACATAATTTATCAAATTATCAAAATATACAACGAATACCAAATCAATATCATAGAAGTAATTCTTTTATAAAATCAGAACCAATTAATATACCTGTACGTGTTGAAATGAATCAAAATCATAATCAATTTACTCCTATGAATAATGTACAAAATATTCATGTAGAAATAACAAAAAATCAACCAAATCATTTGAAACAATTTTCTAGACAATCAATTTTAAATCATAATCAATCTCAATCACAATTTCCACAGATTAATCATACTACTACTACTAATAGTAATAATAATTATTATTATCAAAATGAACATAAATTACTGAATAATAATAGTACAATAAAATCTCAACGTCCATTACATATACTACCAGTTACAAATAATATCGATGAAAATGATTCTATAAACAATATATCAATACAAAATAATTATAATAATGTTATAAATCGTTTAAATAATCATACTACAGCAACAACAACAACAATGAATACTACTAACAATAATATAAATAGTACTAATCATTTGACTAAACCTATGAAATTTTATACACAAAGTATGAAAGTTGGCTTAGATGTAAAACCGGAAGATTTAAATATTCATTTAAAAAATGGTTTATTAACAATTATGATTAAACAAAAAGGTAATAATATTGAAAATAATCAACAAACTAAAATTGCCCGTGAATTTCTACATGAAAATACTATACCAATTAATGTTGATCAAAATAAATTAACAGCAAAATTAGATAGAGGTATATTAATTTGGGAAGCACCATATATGACAACATCATCAACTATAACAACATTAACAAATGATTTAATTGATATTCCAGGATAAATGATACTAACTATACTACTAATAATACTACTATCACTACTACTACTACTAATAATAATAATAATCGTACTTATACTATGTAAAAAATGAACATATTTAATGAAAACAGAGATTACTAGAAGATAATGAATAGATTTATTTAAGTTTATTCTTTCTTTTTTTTAAAAAAATGTATTTTACGCCTTTCTTTGTTTGTTCTGTTTTGTTTTCCTGAAAGATTCATTTATTTTATGTGAAAAAGAATACACTATTAATATTAATCTGAACATAAAATCGATTATATTGTATATTTATTGAAGTGAATTTTTCTATTCATTAATGAACCAGCAACAAAAAAAGAAAGAAAAAAAAAGAGATCAGAATCATTGTTTATTCATTTATTTATTTATTTATTTTATTCTTGTCAAATATTTTAGTCTCATTCAGATATGTTTATAATATGTATTAATAATAATAATAATAATCATAATAATGGGCATGTATTAATCTATTTTTATTAATATATATATGTATAAGTATTATTACCAAGGCTTGACTTGGTAATTTCGAATAAATTGAGCATTGGGTTAATTGTTATAAAGAAAGATAATATTCCAATGAGTAGAAAAATTGAGATTTTCTGATGTTTCGTAACTTGGTGTAAGCCACTTCTTCAGAGAATAAATAATCAAATCATAATTAATCCAAGTTTATTTATTATATACATCGATATTTTTGTGACCTGTTATCTGATACCAGGTTGATCATATAAATGATTATTATTAAAATATATATGTCGCCAATCCTCGTATATATAAATCATCGACTTAACTCATTTTAAGTAAATAACTGAATTAAATAAGCCAAATACGAGAATAGGTATGTTTCTTCATATAGTCGTTGATCGGTAAATGAAGCAAGACAAAATGATGTGTATATCGTAAAGACAAGTGTGTTAACTCAATTTAATCAAGTATAGATATATAATCAGACCAAAGAATATATTACAGACATGTGATGAATAGGATAAGTATACATACAATGAAGATTAATAAGAAACTAATTAATAAGATTAAAATATATCTTGAAAAGTATAAATAAATTAGTTTATCCAGAAACTAGTATAAGTTATCTAGGCTCGACATAGCAACTAAAACCATCATATCATTCTTATTCATTATTGTTCTGCATTGTTAAATTATTTTTTAATGATTCGTTAATCGATAAATTAAAAAAATAATAATAAAAATAATATCCACTTTTATACTTTCTTGTTATGACTGGTTTAAAATGGTTTAAATCAATAGATTTAAGTGAATTTATCAAAATTAACTTGTTTAGTTTCGATGCATATATATATGAAGAGAGAAGGAGAGAGAGGGAGACACAGAGACAAAGAGTATATATATATATGCCATAACGATGAAAATGTGCTTCAATACAATAACGTGAATTTATTTTCATCATGTTAAAGTGAATAAATTAAGTTATGAATGTTATTATGGTAACCATGAGAATGATATTTTAGGAGTATGATTATTATTTTTTCTCAAACAGAAAAACATATTTCACTAGTTGAGATCATGAGTCATTTGAAGCTAGACCACCATGGAAAACCTGAAAACACTGGATAGCTGTTTCGTTCTATTGTAGGACTCCTCAGCAATGCGCACCCACGATTCAGAACCCAGGACTTGTCAGTCTCGCACGCGAGCGCTTAACAATTAGACAACTGAGCCAGCCGGTATCTAAAGGTGCTAATGTCTAACTTCAATTAATCCATAAAATTGCGCCACCGTTCACTAATGTCATCACTGAGTTACTATCTCACAACAGACCCAATTGAACTCCAGTGGTCACTTCTGTCATATATGTAATACACATTGATAATTGAATTATTTAAAGGAAATACTCTTATAAAATTATTGGAAAACTTTTTAGATAGAATCAACTTAGATGGGTTTTTTTTGGACTTTCAAGATTTTTTAGTAATAATAATTGACTTGACAATTTAGTTATTTTGTGAAATGTGATTACTCAACTTTAAATCTTTAAAATAGATATATAGAGTTAAAATTACAATTGATTTATTACCAATGTTATGTTTGTTTAAATCTCTTATTGTTGACTGAATTTTATTGATCAAGTTTTAATACGGTGATTAGTTTAAATGACTTGAAGTTTATTGAAATATTAGATGGTTATAAGTAGCCAATAGGATGCTTTATGTTTCGTACTATTTGAAATCTGTTTGAAAATTGTACTTGCAATTTTGCTGAATCTAATACTCCTCTTTGTTGTCGTTGTTGTTGGAAGGCTGTGCATTATATCGTAGAATCATATTTATCGGTTTGTTTGAATGGTAATCTAAAACTGTTCAATCAAACGTTCATTCAAGTGAAATATTGATTGTTAAATTACTTATGTGATTAAACAGTTGCAAGTATAAAAGTTCCCTACCAGTCAACAAAAATACATAAAAAAATATGATATCTGGTATTGTTATGAATCATTTGTAAACAACTTGAAATTTGGCAAAATATTTTATGTTATTGGATAAACTGAAGTCTTAAGATAATCAGGTCAAGATGATAACAGTTCACACAATAATCAACTGTTCGTCTTGGTTGTCGTAATATATAATATCATCATTTGTAGTCATTTTTTAACGAGTCAAACAAAAAGAATTTCGAATATTCAAATATTTTATTGAGATCATGTACCGATTTAAGTTAGACTATCGTTAAAAACCTGGACGCTTCGAGAGGAGATTTCCAGAGTTCTAGTAAGAATTTGTGACGAATGGAGCTAATCTGTGTCAGATGGGAGAAAAGTACCCACGGAACACATTGAAAGATGGTCGTGCGCTATCATAGACTAATTAAAGTTGAACATTAACACCATTGGATATCAACTCGTTGGTCTGGAGATCGTGTCCTCACGCGAGACCGAAGGACCTGAATTCTATTCTCTTGTGCAGGATTTCGGATGCGCACTGGTTGAGAGTCACATACCAGGAGGAGATGGCCATCCAGTTCTTCAAGGTTTCCAATGATGTTCTAGCCTAGGTCGGTTCATGATTTCAATGAAATTCAACAATCTCCACAGCCTCATAGTGAAAATTAAAATATCCTTGTGAGCTTTTGCTGTTAGTGACGTTATTACCATAGGGGATATATAGTGGTTGTTGAGATTTTTCTAGCTTCCATCACGGACTGATCACTTCTGATCTTCACTGGGAGTACAGGAACGAAGCAGCTATCCAGTACTTCATGATTTTCAGTGGTTATTTAACTAAATGAGTTACTAATGTAAGCCACGAAATTCAATAAAATTCAAGGAGTATTATGTAAACTTCACTTGAATTCGACTAATCACTATCTAAATTTCTTGTCCTTCCTACTCTCACAATATTCTCTTAGTTTACAAATACATTTACATCTCTCTTTTTCATACTGCTTATTATTTCTTATCTTCAAGCCTTATCAAACTTTACAAAATTACTTAAGTCAGTAACAATTCCGTACTCTTTCAGTGATTAGCTATTAGAGACTGTTTTATTAACAGTATTGTTGGGAGCCTTGATTTGTTAAATCAACCCAAGTCAAAAATATGACAATTAGCTATAGATGTTACAGGATGTTTATGACAACGTTATTAGAGTAAGTCCAATGAATTTAAAACGATAGACAACTGAACTCTGGTTTGTCGGATATATAAAGATATTGCGTGTTCACTGTAAATAACTGATTGTTCAATATAGCATTTAGTAGGAATACTGATGAATAGTTTTAAACTAGAACAATGCAGATGTTCAATATTCAATATTTTAAGGTTCTCAATGATCCTTCAGCGATTCTATTTATTGATGAATATGATTTCCAAACTATATAAATTTTTAAATAAAACACTTGACCAAATAATTGATTACTTACAGTCGTCCAATATTAAAAGGATTTATAGCTACTGAATATTGTATTATTAATCTATATAACACAACAATGTTGAAAATTTTCTATTTTTTTATCTTACAGTAAAGTATGTCGAGCATTGATTTTCAGCTGGAATTAGGTCACATAAAAAGTTTATCTTAAATTGTGTATGTATCAAGTATTCCTTAGCCACCGTCTTAATTTCGTTTGAAAATGAGTCATTAAATTCAAATAGATTTTTGCAACTACTGATGTATATAGAAAAATTGAATTTCTAGATTTTCTGATATTTCGTGACTGAATGTAAGCTACCTCTTCAGAGAATAAATAAACAAATTAAATTAATTCGAGTTTAAATAGTACAAGAGAACAAAGTAAAAATGTTTGGTGCGATCAATCAAAAACGGGTCTAACCGAGTCAATGTCATGCCATTTCGGTCAAGGTGATTCACGTGAAGCATGTCTGTTTATTTGTATATATATGTTCACTTTTTAAACATATTACTTATCTGTTGGCGAGAATGACTCCGCCTGTAGCTCTTCTAGAGTTACTGCCGGTCTCAATTCCGGGTAAAGGAGGAGGGTTGAGCATAAGGTTAGCGACCCCATCCCGTAAAAAACTAACTCGCTAATAAATGCTTACCAGAAAAAATAATTCAAGCCATTTCGACTGTGCCCGGAGAGTTAGAAGGCCTTCATTTATAAGAATTATGACGCTTCATGGTGAAAGCTGAGTTCCTTCGGAAGCCACGAGGCCGATGCCCCTTCTAAAAACCAGAGCAAAACTGTTTATAGGTACATGAAACGTCCGAACAATGTGGGAGACAGGGAAAACCAGTCAAATAGCAACGGGAATGAGGAGATACAACTTGGCAGTACTGGAAATCAGTGAAACCCATTGGAACCAAGCTGAACAACAAAAGCTAAATACGGTAGGGATGCTACTATACTCCGATCACGAAGAGGAAAATGCTCCACACACTTAGGGAGTCGCTCTAATGCCGTCCAAAGTAGCACGAAATGAACTTGTAGGATGGGAATCTCACGGATCCAGAATCATCAAAGCATCATTCAAAACGAAGAAGGAGGGGATCACAATGAATATTATCCAATGTTATGCACCCACCAATGATAGCAACTACGACATTAAAGATCAATTCTACGAGCGACTGTAGTCATTCATAGAGAAATGCCCAAGAAAGGACCTCACTATTCTAATGAGAGATCTAAATGCCAAAGTCGGAATAGAAAACACCGAGTATGAAGATATCATGGGATGACATGGATTGACTGAGAGAGAGAAACGAAAATGGGGAAAGATTTTCAAATCTGTGTGCATTCAACAAATTGGTCATAGACGGCACAATATTTCCACACAAACGTATACACAAAGCTACATGGATATCACCGGACCACACTACAGAGAACCAAATAGATCAAATTCCGAAGGACAATGGAAGATGTGAGAACCAGGTGAGGAGCTGACATAGCCTCGGATCACCACCTAGTTGTGGCCAATTTAAAACTGAAGCTAAAGAAGAACTGGACAACTGGACAAACAGCACTAAA